TATGATCCTGTCTTGTTTCTAAATTCCATATATCAGTGAGATCACATGATAGTTGTCTTTCTCTGATTGACTTATTTTGCTTAGCATAATACCCTCTAGTTCTATCCACATGGTTGCAAATAGTAATATTTCATCTTTTTGATGGCTGAATAATATTCCATTGTGTATGTGTGTATATATATGTACACACACACAACACATTTTCTTTATCCATTCATCTGTCGATGGACATCTGGGCTCTTTCCATATTTTGGCTATTATGGACATTGCTGCTATAAACATTGGGGTGTAGGTGCCCCTTCAGATCACTATGTTTGTATCCTTTGGGTAAATACCTAGTAGTACAATTGCTGGATTGTAGATTAGCTCTATTTTTAACTTTTTGAGGAACCTCCATACTGCTTTCCAGAGTGATGCAGGAAAAGCATTTGACAAAATACAGCATTCTTTCTTGATTAAAACTCTCTGCAGTGTAGGGATAGAGGGAACATACTTCAATATCATAAAAGCCATATATGAAAAGCCCACAGCAAATATCATTCTCAATGGGGAAGAACTGAGAGCTTTCCCCTAAGGTCAAGGACACAAGAAGGATGTCTACTCTCATCACTGTTGTTCAACATAGTACTAGAAGTCCTAGCCTCAGCAATCAGACAACAAAGAGAGATACAAGGCATCCAAATTGGCAAAGAAGAAGTCAAACTTTCACTCTTCGCAGATGGACTCCACCCCAAAATTGCTAGAACTCGTACAGGAATTCAGCAATGTGGCAGGATATAAAATCAATGCACAGAAATCAGTTGCATTTCTGTACACTAACAATGAGACGAAAGAGAAATTAAGGAATCGATCCCATTTACAATTGCACCAAAAGTCATGATACCTAAGAATAAACCTAACCAAAGAGGTAAAGGATCTGTACTCTGAAAACTATAGAACATGTATGAAAGAAATTGAGGAAGATACAAAGAAATGGAAAAACATTCCATGCTCATGGATTGGAAGAACAAATATTGTTAAAATGTCTATGCTACCCAAAGCAATATACACGTTCAATGCAATCCCTATCAAAATACCAGGAATTCTATTTCAAAAGAAATAGATGAACATGTAAACAAAGGTACATGCACAAGAATGTTCCCTTAAAAGGAAAACATTGAAATTTCAATATGATTGGATTAACTAAATAAATCAGGACCGTGTGTATACTGAGACTTAACCTTAGATTTATCATGTAGATACATATTTGTAATTGAAACTTGTTTGCAATGCATTATTAGAAGTAAATCTATATCAGATTATAAAGCATTACATATAATACATATACATATTTATATATAACATCTTCATATAGGATTTATAGAAAAATCTCTTCATCCCACTTTGGGTGGGAAAATGCAATGTCCTCCTCAAGATTTCTATAGAAGCTACGGGATATCCAGCCTTGGTTCTCATGATCACCTCTTGCTGCAAACTCCTGTATCTGTAGAACTTTTTATTTCATTCATTTTTCTCACTTTGTGTCTATTCTTGACTCTCTGTCCCATGTCTACTAGGATAAGTTACATACCCTGGTTACTTGTACCAAAAGACATGTTCAGAAATGTTACTAGCAAATTGTTCTTAATAACACAATACCTAGGAAATGTTTAAAAGTCCATTGTCAGGAAAATCTGTAAGTGAATTATTGTATACCTATATAGTGAACTCCTATACCACATTGAAAATAAATGAAACTCAGAAACATAATAGTGATTGAAAAAATCATAGAAGAGCCATAATATTTTATACTATCTTATGAAATTCAAAAGCATATAGTATGAAACAATTCTTTATTGATACTTACATATATAGTTAAATTTCAATAACAATCCAAGGAATTATAAACATGAAGTTCAGAACAGGAGTTAGCCCTGGTTAGGGATGGAGGGAGAGGGACTGGAAAGGGGGACACAGGTGGGAAGGGGTGGGTTTCAAAGTAATGTTCTAAACTGAGTAGTGCACATGCACTGATTCATTTTATTATTTTATTCTATCACATATCCATCCTCTTTTGAGGGATACTAATCAGATATTTTGTTAAGTGTACCTTTTTTTTCAACAATATGAAATAGTTGAATAAGAAAGCACTGTTTGCTATCTTTGTTTCACCATCTTCCCTTGGGACTCTCACTTTCCATAAGGAAACTGTGTACTGTAGACTTTGATTAGAAGTAATGGCACTTTCTTCGGAAGCAGAAGAGGGTGCACTTCACTGTTGTTTAAAATATTTTTTTTCTTTCCTTTACATACCCCCGCATGTCCACACATACACACATTTACAGAGGGAAGCAGTCTGGGAGGATATACACCAAAATGTTACTATTAATTATCTGAGCATGCTGCATTTTCATGTGATTTTTTTCTCTTTCTTTATATTTTCTAATATTTCTGTAATAAACAATATACTTCATTTTTAAGGGGACAGCAAAGTAATTCATCCTGTGTGGTTAAATTTCAGAGTATTTATTCAAGGCCATTAAGTCTTTGTATTTCTTTACAAACAGACTACAATTTCAATCTAACCAAATCCATGAAGAATGGGTTGTTCTGATTAACAGGTTGTTCTGACTTTAGGATGAACTAGGGTTTAAACTACAGACTTTTTTCATGACTCTTTATAATCTTATTTTCATAATCTCAGGTTTTTCACTTTTGATATGCAAAACAGAAAGCAATAACAGTAAACAGTAATAATAACCAAACTAAAAAGCAAAGTATTTATATCTGAACAAGGAATAATAATTTCCCTAGCTGGTAGTTAGAATTTGTTAAAAAGGGCATTAGAGAATATTCAGTTGATCAGTAAGTATTTATTGAACACCTACTATGTGGTAGGACTTGTACTAGATTCTGGGGACAGAGTGGTGATCAAGACAAATTCCAGCCTTCATGGAATTTATAGTCATCTGATATATTCACTTTACAATGTGTGGGATTTTTTTTTTAAGATTTATTTACTTACTTATTTGAGAGAGTTAGAGAGAGATCATGAGCGGGGATGGGGGGAGGGGAGTGTGTAGAGGGAGAGTCAGGCTCCCTGCTGAGCAGGGAGCCCAATGAGGGACTTGATCCGAGGACCCAAAGATCATGACCTGAGCCTAAGGCAGATGCTTAACTGACTGAGCCACCCAGGCGCCCCTACAATGTGTTTTATAGATAATTTTATCAATAGATCATTCTACTGAAAGAGTTCCAGTAATTAGGAGTTTCTTCTGTTGCTTTATAGTGTATTTTTCAGCTACTGTTAAATTAGTGCATTTTTATTTAAAAGGTAACCAATATTATTCATAGAACATTGTTTTTTTTATTGATTCAAATTTGCCCCTTTTGACTTACAAACATTGGTCGTTGTTCTGCCTTTAAGAACTTCAGAATAAATCTACCACAGCAGCTTTTCCCCTTTCTCTGCTTTGTGGGATAGCTCTTTAGAAATAGCTGTTCAAATATGTTGAGAAAACTATTATGCTGCTGTAAGGCTTCTCCAGGATAGAACATTGCAGGTCCTTTCATCATTTCATCTGTGACATGGTTTTAAATCATACACCATCTTGATTGCTTTCCTCCGGATGCTTTCTACTTTGTCACCCTTTGTTGTTAAAAATAAATTACTCCCAATTTCCTGCTTTCAATAGGATAGAGTGAACATAATTGACTCTCTGATGTGTGAGGGTTTGGTATGGCCTGAAAGCAATTACACTGACCTTGAATACTTACTCTACAGTACTGTAAATATCACTATAGAAAAAATAGGAGCTTATACTAAATCTTTACTAATACTTGAATATGTCTTGGAAAATTTTTTGAAAATGAATTTATTTTTTAATTTATCTTTTTCTTTTGATAATTATGCTTTGTAAAGGTAAAAAACATCAAAAAGCATGATTAATTGTGAAATTCATTATGCAGATATCTGTTTTCTTCTCTAGTAAACTGTGGGCTTTCTTAGGGCAAAGGTTATATCTTATTAGTTTTTAAAAATCTCTATCACTTAGCATAGTCCTAAGTATATATGACAGATGCCCAATAAATATTTGTTGACAAATTAATACCTTGTATAAGAAATTAAGATTTTGTGAAATGAAATGAATTCCTACTTTTAGAATACATCAAATAATCAGTAGTATAGAATTGGACCTTAGTTTTATCCCAACCTGAAAAGAGAAACTTTAGTATATTAGTTAGCAGGATTCACAAAGAAAAAATACTAGTGTGTTATATGGGAATACTTTTACTTCTAAATGACAAAAAACCCTATTAGCAATGGCTCAAACAATATAAGAACGTTTGTACTTAAGAAGCCTGGAGTAACTAGTCCTGGGGCTCTTTCAGTAACTCAGTGATATCATCAATGTCCCAGGCTCTTTTTATCCTTCTGTTGCATTCTTAACCTGTTATCTTTTTGATCTTAAGCTTATTGCCTTATGGTCACAACATGCCTGTCTGACCTCCAGACATCCAAACTGCATCCAGAGAGAGGAACCTGAGGATGGCCAAGCTCTACAAAAGCCCCATTGCATGTCTTTCCTCTGGGGAAAAAATATTTTCCCAGAAGTCTCCCTTTCATCCAACTGGCGAAAATTGAGTTACATGTCTCTGGCTATCTCTAGGAAGCAGGCAAGGGAGTAGAGTCTTGGGAATGAATATTGATTAGTTAAGCAACAATTTATGCCACAACTAGAAAATTGCCATATACTACAAAAAGAGATCATGACAAGAGATCATGAACTTTACTATGTCAGTAATAAATTCAGGGGAACCGAACTGTCAGGACCCTTCTAGAAAGATCACTGATGATATTGGGGTTACATGATGGCATAACTTATTCAAACAGATGAATCAGCACCTCTTAATCACTTTTGGAAGAACCGATGAATCTGATTATCTTTTCTAGTTTTTATAAATCAAACAAGCTGTGTCTTTATCACAAAGCTATTTTTATTTTTTCTCCTTCCTTTCAGGAGTCCTATCCAAAGAAGAGGAATTACACTATGGAAATTGTACCATCTGCTTCTCTGGATACATTTCCTTCAGAAAATGAGAACTTTCTATGTGATCTCACGGACATAGCCGTAACAAAAAAACCATGCTCCTTAGAAATTGCAAGGGCCCCTTCTCCAAGAACTGGTAATATTTCTTTAAAAATTTAAAAAATTTTTTTTAGAACTGGTAATATCTCTTACTCACAATTGGGCCAATTCAATTTTCATGCTTGCATATGTGAAGATGTATCATTAATATTTTGATTTTCCACAATATTTTAAACATGAAAATACCCCAATATAGTCAAACTAATCTTTTTATTTTATTTTATTTTATTTTTGCATTTTGAAGTGAGTCCAGGTAGGTCAGAGTTTTTGGTATAATGTCTCTTAACTTCCTGACAAGAGCTCTCAAGGAGTGGTACTACCTTGGTGAAGGCACTTTGAAACCTTGCAATAGTGAAAAACCTCTAGGTCAGACACAAAGCTTGGGGTCCTTTAGAACTTAATAGCAGATTTAGTAGCAAGAGTCTTTTAATATACTTTTCTGCATCCTGTTTTCAGGTTACTGAAACATACTCAGGTATTTTGTATATTTTATATATTTTATGGTATTTTCAGATCCATTATTTTATTTATCTGCATTATAAATTAGTGCACGAGGCAAGTAAATATTATGCCCATTTTACTGATAAGGAAATTGGAGCTAAATGTCTTATTTAAGATCAGTTCATGAGGGGGCCTTTCTTAAACATGAATGTTTGACTATCATCATGTCTGCTTTCTGTTCAGCATTGCGTCTAAGAAAGAATGCAGGCTATTAACATGAAATCTAATGATGGAGGAACGTTTCAAGTGGGTAGTCAACATATTCAGTGCTACAAAGGAGTTGTAAGAGAAACTCTAAAGAAAGACATTTTAGGTTTGACAATCTAATTGCTGCTTACTTTTGAAAAGTAAGTTTTAGTAGTGATGAGATAAAACCAGATTTCTGGAAGTTAATAGTGAGACACTAGAAAATGGGAGTGGAGAGTACAGATTACCCATTCAAGAAGATTAGAAGAGTTATGATAGTAACATGAGAAGAAAGAGGTTCAAGGGAGAATTAGCTAGTTTATTTTAGGTTAAGTAAGCCTTGGCCAAGTTTAGAGGTTAGAGGAATTTGCTGGTGGAGACCAAGAGCTTAAAGATAAAAAATAAGAAGAAAGAATAAAATGGGTAGAGAAGACTGAGCTAGTCTAAGAAAACACAGACATTGTTTCCCCCAGAAAGAGGAGAAGATAGAGCATGGTTATGAATATAGAGAAATTCTGAAATATGTATTTCCAAATGGATTAAATTTCTGGGTTAAGATAAAAAGTCAATGGATGAAAAGAAGGGGCAGATCTTGAGAAGGGTTAAAGTAAAATTCAGAAATGCCATTTTAGATAATAAGCTGAGAAATTTTATAGAAGTGGACAAATAGGTTTTTGAGCAGCATTGAGATTAGGCTGTTGTATGAATCATAAGCATGCAGAAGGAAAATTTTTTGGATGAGGTAAGAGCATAATAAAACAGTTAAAATTTATTGAGCATTTACTAAATGCCAGATACTGTTAAGGTAATAATATCATTATTACCATTTGACAGATGAAAAAACTGTGACACTGAAATATTAGGTAACTTCCCACAGTTCTGTGTTAATAAGGGGTAGACTTGCACTTGGGTTGTCTGCTCTGTACTCTTAAATTCTCCATTATACTGAAATATATTGGGGGATGAAGTATAGTTGAAATCGTGAACTACATAGTGAAATTCTCAAGAAATGTGGAGGTATGACTGGAAGTCCGCATATGGTAGCAATAAAACCAGAAAAAGAATGTTATAATAGAATAGCATAATCTTTGGAAAAGCAGCAGATTTTGGATAAAGGCAGAATAGTGGGTGATCAGAAGCAGTCACGGAGAGTGAAGACAGTGCTGATCCCAAACTATGATAAGAATGAAAACTCTTCCATAGGAGAAGTAACCAGGAAATACTGCGGAAGTCGGGGGAAAGCTCAGCTAGTATGGGAAAATGGAAGGCACACATGAATGAAAATGTAAAAGAACTGGGGCGCCTGGGTGGCTCAGTCGGTTAAGCGACTGCCTTCGGCTCAGGTCATGATCCTGGAGTCCCTGGATCGAGTCCCGCATCGGGCTCCCTGCTCGGCGGGGAGTCTGCTTCTCCCTCTGACGCTCTCCCCTCTCATGTGCTCTCTCTTTCTCTCATTCTGTCTCAAATGAGTAAATAAAATCTTTAAAAAAAAAAAAAAAGAAAATGTAAAAGAACTTTAATTAGGGCATAGAGAGTAGGGGTGTATTGGGGTTGGTGAAGGCAGGAATGAAAGAGTCAAAGAAGACACGGATTTATTTATTAAACAATCAAAAACGAATGGTGTTCCTTCATGTGCCAAGCAGTGTTCTGTATGCTGAGGATACAGGGATAAAAAAGACATGCACCAGGGTAACAAGGCTGATTAGGCTTCTCCTGCTGAAAATAAATAAATATTCTGGCTAAAAATACAGAAAAGGAAACCTGAAAAATATTAAAAAGGTGAGAAGAAAATTATATAAATTGAATAACATTTAAATTAGGAACCTTTTGGGGGTCAATAGGTTAGTAGATATAATCAGGCTAAAACATTGGTGAGGGTGGGAAACCAGTGGATTTCTAAAGCCACTTTTGTCCTGAGGGAATTTTCTGAACTTGCTGTTGAACTCTGGTGCTTAAGGCCTCATAAATCTCAAGGTTTATGTGCAGAAAAAAATCTCTGTGTCTGTTCAGCATGGAGACTTTAATAGGAAATTCTTCCTCCATAGAGCTGGAACTCCAGGGGCTACACTTTACAGTAATCAGAAATAATTCTGCCCCCTAACCCTCACCCCAAGGAAAGGTGATTTGTCATGAGAAGAACAAGGAGGGAAATTCCTGAGGTGTTATTACCACAAATCGGTCCTCAAATTTCTATCACCTAAATGGTACAAAAAATGTCAACCCATGAGTTTAGTTTAAATACCCTCAGACTTCAAGCGGAAGCAAATGTAATCCCTCTAGAGAGGAATATTCTCTTTTTCCAGGTCCCAAATAATTTCTATAAATACTTTTCTGATTAAAATTAGCAGTGTACCATAATTAAGTCTATAAGGAAAGAAACCCTGAAACCAGAATCACAGAAACAAGAAAGAACAGATCCACACATGAAAAAACTTCAAATATTGGAATTGTCAGATGCAGGCTAAAAAATGACCATACTATTACAAACACACACTTACACCCAGAGAAAATCTACCTCAAATTTAAAACTCAGTGGATAAGTATAACAGCAGATTATATTCAGCTGAAGAGAGATTTAGTGAGCTGGAAATTAGGGCAGAAGAAGTTTTACAGAATGTGGCATAGAGAGAGATGAAAAATATGAAAGCAAAGCTAAGAGACTTGGAGGATACACAGAGAAATTCTAACTTGTCTATTTAAAGCTTCAGAGAGAGAGGAGAGAGAGAATGAGGCAAAAGTAATATATTTGAGGAGCTAATTTTCCAAAAGGAATAGGCTTGTTCTTGCACTCACATGGAGATGGACAAGTGAATAGTTAATTTCAAGAGTATAATAAGTGTTAAGGCAGTGTTATACAAAGTGCTTTGGGAATAGAAAAAAGGATCATTTAACTTCACCTGGGAGCTTGGGAAAGACTTCATGAAGGAGATGATGTCTGTGTCCATTATCTATTGTTATTTAACAAGCCACCCCAAAACTTACTGTCTTAGAGGAACATCAGTCATTTAGTTTGTTCACAAATCTACAAGTTTGGCAGAGTTCATTTGACAGGGGTAGCCTGTCTGTGCCATGTGGTATGAGCTGAGGCTGCTCAACTAAGGGAGAAAGGACCCATTTTCAAGATGGCCCACTACATGGCTGGCAAGTTGGTGAGAGCTTACAGATTGGCTGGGTTTATGGGCTGGGGACCATTTTTCCTCTCCATGGACTGCTTGGGTTTCCTCATGACATACTGGCTAGATTCTGAGAGCAAGCATCTGAAAAGGACCAGGTGGAAGCTGTACCATTTTTATTATCTAGGCTTCAAAGTCACAGACCATCACTTCTACTACAGTTCCATATCTACTCAGATTCAAGGGGAGAGAACATGAACCCCACTTCCTAATGGAAGGAATGTCAAAGTTACTTCGTAATAAGAAGATATATGATGGGAGATACCTTTGTTGTCAGTTTTAGAAAATACAGTTTTCCACCAACTGTCCTTTGGGCACAATAATTTATATTCTTTGCCTATGCAAATTATACTTGTTTATACCTTCAGGACTTCCCATCATCAGCCTATTACAGCATGAGCTCCAAGTCTAGGTTCAGGTGTGCATGAATCTCCCTGGTGTAATTCTGTTGGTGCAGGATCTTGACTGCTTTTGCTCTTGGCAGTGATGACCTATGAACTAGACAAGTTATCAGTCTCCTCTCCTAAACACACAACATATAATGGTGAATCAGACATAGGAGAACCACAACTGACACGCTCATCTAAACACAGGGAAAACAAGGCACACGGTGATCCCTAGTCTGTGGCAATTCTGAATCTAACCAGGCACAGTTCCTTGATTAAGACTCAGTCTTATGGCATAGGAATTGTTCTCTGTGGCACTTGGTTCCTCTGTCTGAATCATTATTTTCCATAAAAAGCATCCTGTGTTTATAGCTGAGTATCTTTCTTCCTTGCTTTTAGTCTGTTAAAGATTAGGGATCAAAAGGGCTCTTTTCATTTTATATTGCTGTTCCTTCCAATTTGGGCTGATATAATTTCTTTTAAAACTTTGTGGACTTGGGGCACCTGGGTGGCTCAGTCGTTGGGTGTCTGCCTTCAGCTCAGGTCACGATTCCAGGGTCCTGGGGTCGAGCCCCACGTCGGGCTTTCTGCTCAGCGGGAAGCCTGCTTCTCCCTCTCCCACTCCCCCTGCTTGTGTTCCCTCTCTCACTGTCTCTCTCTGTCAAAATAAATAAATAAAATCTTTAAAACAAAACCAAAAACAAAAAAAACTTTGTGGACTTGTTGTGTTCCAGTTTATATTCCACTTCATTAGACAAAAGCTTATCTGCAGATAAACTCCTTCTCTGCTT